TTCCCAGCTTTAGCCACAGCTTCTCAATGACTGGATGTTTGATGGAATTGCAAAATTATTATATTTTTCATGTGTTAGATATCATGATTGGGTTTTAAAAACATTTTATCATAGGTGTGCCATAGCTATGTATGTAGATAGATAAATAAACACATAGATAAATATGATACCTTGTATTTACTTCAAGAGTATCTGAAGGAGTGAAGTAGGTAAAAATAAAAAGTATATACTATACTTGTATTCATACTTGTTGAAGCTGGGTGATGAGTGTATCAGTCAAGGGTCTTTTGACAATAATAGGAGACCGATATATATGGACATACACATATCAATATAACTCACCATTATGGTGGGCCATTCTCTCATCTTTTATATACATTTATACTTTCCTATAGTAAAAAAAATTTACACAAATAGGTTATGATTTTCGAAAGCAGTTTCACAATGGTCTTGAAGTTTCAGACTTTCAGGTAATATTTCTGTTGTTCCAAAATAATAAATTTGGTAGGGGCCAGAAGGATAATGTAAATCCAAATCCAGTGTTTGCTGCATATTTTAGAATACGTGGGAATGGGAAATATCTACCTCTAAAGAAGTCTCTGATGTCAAATTATTTTACACTGTTAACTATACATTTATACTCCCCCTTTTTTTAAAGCTTTCTTTCCAAAGACAAGTCTATAGCTGTGAAAGCAAAAAGGTATTTTTGTTTAATCTAGATTTGCTTGAAGTAGATGAGTAAATATGGATATGCATTTATAAATTCAAACTGAAATACAATAATTGATAAAAGGACCAATATAAGACCAATCAAGAAAATTAAAGTACCAGTTATCAGCCAGACTCTGCTTTAAATATTAGTTATACAGTTATAAGCTGTATGTATCTCAAAATGTATGAACTATAAGTACAAGAACATGCACACTGTCTTGTGGGTGTGTAAATGTGCATTTTCAATGATAAATGTTATGTCATAAGATAGCCAAGTGTCTTCTTCTCACAAAATCAATGCATTGTAACAATTTTAAAATAGGTGAAAGTAACATCTTCATCACTTTGAGGAATGACCCTTTTTCAGCTTCACACATACTCCTGGGATGGGCCAGCACCCCTGATTTTCAAGTTATTAAAAAGGCCTCAATATGTTTCACTTAAAATCAATAAAAACACACTAACACCTGGATACAACCTAAAAATAATTTACTCTTTATTGTGAAATGACTATAGATTCTCAGGAAGCTACACGGTCAGTACAGAGAGGCCGACGAACCCTTTACCCAGTTCTTCCTGTGGTTATAACTTACATAATATGGTGCAATATCAAAACCAACCAACTGGCTTTGTTATACTGTATGTGTGTAGTGTTATACCATTTAATCACACGTGTAAATTGTGTAGCCACCAACACAATCAAGACACTCAGCTATCCCATCATTACAATGATCTCCCTCTGCTTCCGCCATAGCCATATTCTCCACCCTCCCTGATACCTGCCTGCCACTGATCTGCCACTGACATCTCCAATGTCTAGAGAATGTCACATAAATGGAACAACACAGTATGTAACCTTTGGAAATCAGCTTTTTTTCAGTGAATATAATACCAGGGAGACTCATCCAAATTGCTGCCTATCTCAGTCATTTGTCCTTTTTATTCCTAGGTTGTATTTCACTGTGTGGATAGACCAGTGTAACCACTTACATGTTGAGGGACATTTAGGTTAGTTCCACTTCTAAGAAAGCTACTATGGACAATTGTACATGGGATTTGTTTTGAGGACATATTTTATTTCTCTGGAATAGTTGTCCAAGATTGCACTTGGTGGTTTATATGGGAAGAATGTTTATGATTTTTTGTTTTTCAAGAAATTGTGAAACTGTGTTCTAGAGTGACTGTATTATTTTACATTTCTACCAGCAGTGTGTGAAGATCCAGTTTCTCTATATCCTCAGCAGAATTTGATATTGCTACTATTTTTATTTAAGCTGTTGTGCATATAGATATTTCATTTTCTGTCTCAATTTTCATGGCCATGATGACTAGGGTTTTTTTTAACATCTTTTGATATGATTATTTGTCATTCTTATATGCTCTTTAATAAAATGGCTATTCATGCTATTCATGGCATTTGCTTATTTTCTAACTAGATGTTGTTTCTTGTTTTAACATTTGATTTTCAAGTTTTCAAGGAAACATTTTTTTCTTCTATTTAGAGTTAAGACCAGGACAAATGTTTCTTTGACATTTGTCCTTGAGGGGTCCTTGTTTTAAGATGATGAAATTGCTGTTGTTTTATTTGGAAAATCTCAGTTGTTAATTATATTTCTCTACTGAGAAGGGAATTGGCTTACTGTCATAAATATCTACTCTGCTCCATTTTCAAGTGTTGTAATTCCACTTGGCATTTTGAAACCAAATGATATTGCATAAGCAGCCTGCTGGCTGTACCCAAATCCTATATACATTGTCTTAAAACTCTATTTTCAAATTTAAATACATTTAAAATTAGACCCTGCCATAAGAAAAAAAATACATTTTCAAATGCAATTCATAATAGTTCTACATGAACTAAAAAATTTAGCACATAAACACATGATTAGAACTTTTAACAGCACACTAAAATAAGTCTTTTTCAATAAGAATTTTTAAGAATACTGTCCTATTTGATACTATTTTTTGTTTTTAATAAACTTTTAGTGATTTGTGTTCATAGTAATATATATTTTATTCAAAAATTTTTCAAAATATTCAGCAAAGTTGAACAATTTTTAAGAAAACTGTAATGTGGGGCTGGGGATGTGGCTCAAGCGGTAGCACGCTCGCCCGGCATGCGCGGGGCGCTAGGTTCGATCCTCAGCACCACATAAAAATAAAGATGTTGTGTCTACTGAAAACTAAAAAATAAATATTAAGAAATTCTCTCTCTCTCTTTAAAAAACTGTAATGTCATATTATACTTTTGCAGTGAGTAAAACATCTTCTTTGTTGATCATTGAAATATCCCTGTGGGAAATGCAGGGTGGGGGACATTAAATTTTTTAAAGACTTGGAGTCTAACCTCAGATACGCAGTACCTGTTATACCCATTTGTCTATGTCTATCTCCAGTGTCTAGATAATGTCACATAAATGGAACAACACAGTAGGTGATACTCATCACAGCGCAACAGGCCTGAACATTGACTGATATCATTTAGGGATGTGATGCTGCTTGTGGAAATAATAGGGATTTTAGCCCAACATGGCTCCAGGTCTGTCTCAGCTGCTTACAAGCTGCATGACCACATGGCATGCTATTGGCCCTTCAGTTTTCTCATCTATGAATGGAGGGTAGTAATGCTTATATCATGAATATTATGAGGATTGTTTGAAATGATAAATATGAAAGATCTAGAACAAAGCCTGGCACGCAGTAGCCATCAATAAGTTATATACCTTCTCAACATAGCCACCAAACCAAATATTTTTTGTGAATGAGCAAAATAAGAGAGAATTCATAAGACTAGAGAGATCTGATGGTAAAATTTAGACAAACAATAGTAATTAATTTTAAAAATAATTTCAATCATTGTAATATAGATAAAATTTATTTGGGACAAATTTACGTTAACCAATCGGTCAAATAAACACAATTGTTTCTTAATGTAATATAATGATGTTATTTATTTATTTTGGAGAATAACACTTTGAAAAAAATATATAACTGGCTCTTGACCTGATTTTACTAAAATAGAATTTGATTAAAGATTTAAATTTCAAAATTTCAAAAATAAAGGTATAAACGTATCAGAAATATGGATAGATTTTTAAAATAATTTTTAATGAAAATTTTTGCTACACATGACATAATGTCTAGATACCACAAATAGATCAATATGTCCAACATCAAAAAATTTAAAAATGTTTAGGAAGCATAGATAAAATACAAAGTGAAATAAAAAGTTGAGAATATTTTTGGCAGAATATACAACAAAAAATGACTTTTTATACTAAGAACTGTTATAAATAAGGTGAAAAGTATTAATTCAATTTTTCAAATAGCAAAAGTAATAGGAATTAACTTCATAAAAATAAATGCAAAGGAACAATGTCCATTTAAAGATGTGCTCTTACCCATTCATGTTTTTTCAAATATAACTTCAAACAATAATTTGATATTTTTCAACATCAAAATATTAAACAACACCTGTAATGTTTTGCAATCTGGACATGTGTGCAGTGAAGCAAGTATATTTATTCCCTTGCTTCAATTGTAAATTGCTGGAATAAAATTTAGGATATCAACACAAAAATTTGAAGTGTACATACCCATTGCTGGCAATTTATTTACTGAATATCTAGACAGTCCACAAACTTGAAGCTCCATGCATTTAATAATTTTCATTGTAGGATTTTCTACAGAGAATTTTTTGTAAATCCAGGATAAACCTACATGTCATGATAAGGAATAAAATTAATAAGTATAGTCTTTTCCTTAGCATGGTATTCTATTAGCCATTAAAATAAAGGGGGAGAGAGTAGTACAGATTTCAAATGATTTACAAGTTATTTTGGTGTGAAGAAGGTAATGTGCAAACAGTTTTTATAGTAAACTTCCATTTATACCATGAAAAATAATTATATATATGCATATAATAGGTGGATTAGAAATTTTCTGGAAAGAAACTTTTTTAAATATTGCATAGAAGTAGGGATTTGCACATGGAATAGCAGAAAGAAGACAATAATACTACTTAAGACTTTTCTGCATCATTTGAAAGTTCCTATATTCTCATATAAATTTTACTATAATTTTTAAAAATTAATGCAGTTAATGTAATGATAAAATATATAAATTATAATGGGCTAAATTCAATTAAATATTATAAGGATCAAGCAGACTATTTTAGGTGCTCTAAAACATTTATGTATTATTTGCTTTTAAAAGTGAACTTACAAAATGACTTTGATTGGATGAACTGATATATTCATTGATATCTAATGCATTTTGTTTTCCCCCAGATAAAGCCAAGGGAAGATCAAGAGCAGGAACCCACTTTGACTCAGCCCGGAGACGGAGCCGAGCTGTCCTTTATCACATCTCTGGGCACCTGCAAAGAAGAGAAAAGAACAAATTGAAAATAAATAATGTAGGTGGTATGTGTATACACTATGAATGTTAGAATTTCCCCTGGTGGCAATATTTGATTCACTAAAGAAAGGCTCCAATTGCTCAATTACTGACTTTTTCCCCACTTTGGCTTATGCTTGCCTGCAAAGACCAAACTGGGAAAGGTCAGCAGTCATGAGGCATTTCTATAATAAAAGTGCTTAATCAGAGCGTTATCGCAGTACAGAGATTAGAATAATATTGCAGCCGAGATCGGGCGCATTCAGGGTGAAGGTGGGAGTTCATAACCCACTTGAATCAAAGTGTGGAATATGATATGTCAAGAAATTTGTAATGCTTTGAACAACCCACAATAAAAAATTAAAAATAAAAAAAATAAAAAATAAAAAAATAAAAAAATAAAAAAAAATATTGCAGCATAGTACAAAATGGTGCTGGGGTTGCTGCAAATAGGGACATACTGGTTACATTTTATGAAACAGGATGATGCAGCAAGTCAACTACACACTCATAGTTTGTTGGTCAAATTGCTCAAATTTAATTTTAGTTTCATCTGTTTTGCACTTTATCTAATTTCTGTTAATGTGTTTACCCAGGGGGATCAAGGAAAAGTCAAAGTCATTACTCCATTTAAATATTTATATTTTATGCGAAACAGTTGGAAATTTCACAGAGTGGAACATTAGATTTGAAATTACATGCCATATGTTATAGTTCTCTAAAAGTCCCACTGTTGGTAAATTACAATGGTGCTACTTACTGAAACCTTGAAACCTGGTGTTTTTCTGTCTGAAGTCACAGCAAATAACTATGCCAGTAAAAAAAGTATTTCTTTGGAGAGTTTCACATGACACATATCTTCAGAATTTTGTACTCAGTTGGATTTTAGCACAAAAAGATTCCCTCTTCATGGAGAAACCCAGAACCATGCCTGTTTAGTTGTAGATGTTCAAAGGTAATTTTTAAAATGATGTTAATGTCACTAATTTCCATTGTGGAATCATCAGGACATATCTGGGGTGCTGTGATTATGAGTGGCAAATTAAATATGCAGTCTAACTTGCCAATGACATTTGAAACAACCAGAGTTATCTTGGAACTGGTTTAAGTTTCAGAAGTTGTGGGACTTAAGGGTACAGGGGAACCTTCAACATCTTACATGGTAAGCTCTGGGACTATCTAATCTCCTATATAAATGTTTTGATACCCTTGCATAAGACATTCAAAGTATCTGTTTCTCTAATTGTCGTAAACAAAGAAAGATGTATAAACACAGAGTGAGAAGAATAGCACAGAAGTGCTGCAAAACTGGTTCTTCAGTATGATTTCTTTCTGGAGGCTAGAATAAGATGTTTTGATACCTTTATTCTCCAAGGATCACCTGCCGTATCTGTGACTGGTCTGCCATGCTCTACTGTGGAGTGTCACACTTTACACACTTTTTTTTTTCTTTTTTGGTCCTGACTTATTATGAAGGTTTTCTAGGGGCACCTGTGCCTTAGTGTCACATTGACTTAGTAAGAATCCAGGGAGAGACTTAAGAATCCAGGGAGAGACAGTGCACACCACTGGATCTATGGATCCTAACCCTCCCTGGTCCCTATTTACATCTCCCTTAAATTACCAAGTCAGCCTTGGTGACAGTAAACACATTCTAGGAAGAAACAAAGGTGCCCGCATCTGGGCTGAATATTGGCAAGCCTAACCAGCAAAGCACCTAAATAAATATTACCCAGATTCTGTTATTCTGAAAGCCGACAGTATCTTCTAGCTTTTAGTTGGGAATCACTTAGTTGAGAATTACTTAAGGATGTTTCAAGTATTAGTAAACTTTAAAATGCATTTGCTGAACCTGCTATGTTTCTCTTTAGATTCAATGAAGTACAAAACACTACTTAAAAATCTGATTAAAAAAAATCATAACTCCCACTGCTTAGCTAATTGTTTAATTGCTGTTCATTTCAGAAGTATAAACATCAGGGTGGAGCATTAAAATAATACATAGTAATTAAGGATGTCTGATCAACACAGTGGCTCTGATATTACAGGTAAATGTTACCTCTGAAGCTGAGTATGGAATCAGAAGGTCGTGTTCACCATCTCTTTTCAAGGAGAACAGAGGAGAATGGCTAAAAGACAGATAGCAGAAAGAGAGAAGAAAAGGAAATGATCTCGATATTTCTCAACTAAATCTTTGGGGAAATTTTGGCTGCAATGTTTGCATACACATAGAAGAATTCCTAATTATTGATAGCCCTAAACTATTTAAAACAATTTGATTTAAAAATTCCTTTTACTCCAGAAGGCATAGGTGTTATTTTTATAAGTGCATTTTTAAAATGGGAGGAAAAAAAACAACAATTGGTTCTGAGTCTCAAAAGTAGAAGCAGCAGCTACAGGATTTGGACCCTAATCTTCTTCCCAAAAGTCACTATTTTGCCTCTACCTAGCATCCTCCTTGAGACAGTTCTATGGAATAGGCACATGTGCTCCAACCATAGCCAAATGAACTCATCAGGCTATTGGCAAGGTGGGGATGGAGACATTATTAACACCTGTAGTCCTGCCTCTTACCTTTTCCTGGAACTTATTATGAAGGTTTTCTAGGGGCACCTGTGCTTTAGTGCCTCATTTCCGCATTTCTTGATTTATTACTCTGTCCATTAAATGAGAATGGAATAATAAAAGTGTTTCAAACAAGATCACATGAGAATTTTCAAAGCTTGAAAGGAGAGTGCTATAAATAAATGCCCCAGTATTACCAGCGGGGTCCTGTGCTAGTCTTCCTCAAAGACATACACTGGGCTTGGCTGTGCTGCAGTGACTTTAGAAGCATTTTCCTACCCTCTTGCTCATTCAGATGACCATTTCAAAGAAGTGTTGTAATAATATTTTAGGAAACAGTTACCTTAATTAGGCATTGAGTTAACAATTATTTAAATGATTCATAGGGTAGAGGTAAACTGCGAAAGCATGGTTGGCAGCCAGGTGTGATGGTGCATATCTGTAATTCCAGCAACTCAGGAGGCTGACAGATAGATTGTAAGTTCAAAGCCAGCCTCAGCAATTTATTGAGGCCCTAAGCAACTTAGTGAGACCATATCTCACAGTAAAACTAAAAAAAGGTTGGGGATGTGGCTCAGTGGTTAAGTGCCCCTGGGATTGATCTCCAGTACCAAAAAAATAAAAAGAAAAAAAAGGCATGATTTGCACTAAAGCAATATGCTTCAAAATCAATCAGTAATATATAAAGTCTAGACAAATTGGTTGTATCATACCTTAGGCAAACACCATATGTTTGAGGGTCATAAATAATAGGAATTTTCACCCTATTTCCTTCTAAAAGCAAAATTTTACAAATGTTTCCTTTTTTAAAAACAATTCTAAGAAATTTTCTTCCATTTAAATGGTTTTGATAAAATTTTATAAATATAGTAGTGGGAATAAAGGAGCATCTATTTTTGTTTTCACTTAGGTGATGGTGTAGAGATGTGTGCAGGATTTGAGTTAATAATATTTCAAAACTTAAGTCTAATCTAAGATGTACAGAATTCTCAGCATAATTTTAAAGTAATATGCTTTAACAATAATCTAACATCATTTAAAATAATGTTTAAGTAGCCTATGAAAATGAAATCTGATTAGCAGATATAACAAATGTATTGCTGAACTTTTGCATGAGCTTCACTAATATTTCCTGCAATTAGCATTATACAAAGAAAACACTTTACTCACTCTGTTATTTTCCCAATCCTCATCCTAGACTTGCTTTCTTCCTTTAATAAGGCAAAATTTCAATTTCTGTAGCATGACAGTAAAAAAACCTGTTGGATGGAAAGTGAGATGCTCCCCAGGGCTTCTGAACATTTCTTGGTATAATAAGTATTAAGGGGAAAAGTTATATTAGAACCTACCTTAGTGTTATATCTAGAAGTGTGTATCGATTTGGAGGAGATGGATCCTTGCAGACCCTAACTCCCTCTTCAGTTCACCTGCCGAAGTTCTAATGAGAAGCTCAACAGAGAATTTCATCTGTTTTTCTCGGTGTTAAGCCAATGTCCACCTTTGGAACTTATTCCTCAAAACCAGAAAATGAGGCAAAAGGTCCAATATGAGGAAATTGGGTGGAACAAAGATGCAGTGGAAGCAGGTGGACACCAAAGAATCATCTGGAAGTAGTGGAGCAGTTCCCTACCATGAGGCCCCAGACCAGGAAGTGCCTGGGTGGATTGAGTGAGAATGTTGACAGGAAGTACAAACACATGTTGAGAATGCCTACCTCAGAGACACACCAGACACGGGGGCATTCATATTAGGGTAGGAGAACCATTTACTCACCGATAACCACCACTAGGAGCTAAGTGTTCCAGATCTCTCTGAATTTTCCCTGAATCTCAGATATTCAGGGCTCTCTGAGCACACCACATTAATCTGCCTTTCCCTCAGTGACTGAGACAAGAAAATAACACTGTGACCTGCAAGTAATATGTATTCTGGAACTTTTAACTGCTCTGTTAATTCAACCTAACTTTCAAATTTAAGTTTTCATTACCTATCTTGTATTTCTCATTAATTGAGGTCAAAGCAAGGTCTGCAAGTATCTGGTCACAGACTTGTCAAATTTCCACACATGCTATTGTTGGGCCTCCCTTTGTCTCATAGCAATAAAGGAACTGTTCATCAAGTTGGACTGCTTTCAAGTGAAATGCTTTTACAGTTATCAAAAACTCAAGCTATTCTTCTGCATTTAATCAGTTGCACAGTGAACATTGCTTTTCTCCTCCCATGACTTGAATAATAACCCTTAAGTAACTGTTCCTCCCTTTACCATCTAACCAATGGCTGCCCAGTTTCAGAATGTATCCATGTTAACTAAAGCAACAAGATTTGGGGTCCCAACTAGAAACTTCACCATCAACCACAATGCCAAAAAAAAAAAAAAAGAAAAAAGAATGCATGCACAACCTGATTATATTTTGAAAAATGTATAAATAGGTTTTTACAGTAGACTATTAGTAATCTCCTTTCTAGAAAAAAAAGCCATATTTGCTGATATCAGCAGTATCTCAGGTCAAATATATTCTCTAGATAATGACTGTCTTTTAAAAATACAGAGTGTCCTCATGGCAATAAGTATATAAATGCATCTCAGTGTTTGTGCTGTGTGTAGGATTATACTTGCAACTGTAGATATTTTTAGATGACATTTTAGATAATGGTCTTTTTGTTTTTAATGAACAAAATCTGGACTGCTTACTTTCATGACAAAATTCTAAGCAGTGTTATTACCTTTAGCAAAGATCTCTGCTCAGTTTTAGTACAGTCATGCATCACGTAACAGCAGGGAGACATTCTGAAAAATGTGTTAGGTGATCTCATCGTCAAGGGAAACGATAATGCCATCAACAGATGATGTAAACAGGAGATGTATGAGGCTGCTGTTTTATAGTCATTTTTTTTCACTATTAGGAGCACACTCTAAAATAATAATAAAAAGTACATAAAGCAAGAGGTATTCATGGAAGCTGGCCTGTAAGTGTCACCAGGAAGAGAAAACCAGAATGTGGGATGGAATGGATGCTGGCACCTTTCCTAGTGAATTTCAAATGGAAAGCCACTTGACTCCACTGTCCAGTTAGCAGTCATTATTTTCTCTTCCAAGTAACTCGAGTAAAAGTAGTGGGAAAAGGCCCTTCCTTTAAAAAGAGATATACCCACTACCCCCTACAAGTTTGGAGCCTTATTTATTTGATCTTTTCAACAATTAGTTTTCTATTTTAAATTATCCACTAAACCTTGAATGATATGGAATTCCAACTGACTGCACACTGGCCATTCTTTTGTGTTTCCTGGAATTTCCAAGTTAATAAATAGCACTATTGATTCTGTTTTAAATTTGAGATTTAAAGATTCATGAAGCATCCTACAATATAAATTTGCACTTTTACACCAGAGTTCTCATTTTCTGGAAAACAACTAAGTTTTCTTTTCTAATTATTCTTTTAAAAGAAACTTTTTAAAAAAAAATGCACAACTCAAACTCCTATATAATCACCCCAGTAATTTACTTCTTTAAAAATGAATACATTAAAGGACTAAGTGTCAATTCTAATCCATCACAAGAAGTAAAGGAGAACTTCCAAAGTAGTGACACTTTTTTAATTCTTGCTTTTATTTACAATTGTACATTTTATTCCCATTTTGAGACTCATAGTGAAAATAACTTGCATATGTTTTATCAACATACTCCTAAGATAGACTCACATTACTTTTTCTTTGAGACAATTTCTAGATTACTATGCTAATCCAATACTTCCTACTTTGCCAAGATATAAAAATTGCCTTATGAAAGTGGATTTTCTGATCTACAAAGAAAAAGTACAGATAGTATGAACATAAATCAGTAACACAGTTGCTCATTACCACTACCAAGTGTCATGCACTGGACATAATTGTATGGAAATGCTTTTATGTGACTTGCAGCTCTGTAGGTTTGTTTATAGCAGCAGCATCACAAATAGGGGAACACTATGTTGAGCTACAACATTACAAAAGCAACCATGTCACTAGGCAATAGGAATATTTTGGTTCTGTTGTAATCTTATGGGACCACCGTATGTGAAGTCCATCATGGATTAACATAGTTACATGGTGCATGACTCTATGTACATGTCAGGTTTTACTCATAACATGTGCTGACATGTGTCATGCATGATTCTCCTCCCACAGGTATGTGTTTAAAGCAGTGTAATTCTTGTCTCTAATGTCTCTTTTCCCATTCTTTTCCTTTTGTCTTTATCCACAGAATGTTTTTGTAGATAAACCAGCATTTCCGGAGTATAAAGTTTCCGATGCAAAAAAGTCCAAATTCATACTTTTGCATTTTAGCACTTTTAAAGCTGGCTGGGACTGGCTTATCTTATTGGCGACGTTTTATGTTGCCGTGACTGTACCTTACAACGTCTGCTTTATTGGCAACGATGACCTGTCTACCACTCGCAGCACGACAGTCAGCGACATAGCAGTGGAGATCCTTTTTATTATAGGTAAGAACCCGCAGTGGGTTTCTTCAGAGATTTGCCTATGGGAAGTAAGTCTTTTCCGGATTTTTCTGATGTGAACTTAAACTAAGATCCATTTGCATGGGCATGATTCAGACTGTGAGGCAAATTTGGGAGAGTCACATTTTTGGATTTCTGAAAATTGCCTCTTCCAGTTTTTCCACTGTTCCTTTATTCACACAGATCTAGACTGATGTTCTTTTATTCTACATTTATTTTGTCAAAAATGGGGCTTGGAAAGAACACACCAGTTGTCTTCTGCTAGTGGTCCTGTCCCAAGTATGTGGTTCTGTCTTCATCTTTCTATGCCCTTTCAGCATGTAGATGGTGATTTCAATAAGTGGCCTAGTTACAGAAGCAAAGAGTTACATAAATTAATCAGAAGAAGCTGTGAATATCTTATTTTAACTTAAGAAAAGGCCCCAGGGATGTTTGCTAGAGGGCCTTTATCTCTAGAATATTGGGAACATCCATTGATATCACATCTGCTCCAATCTTGTAAATGTTTTCCTTTTTTATTTTTCCTTACACCTTCATTTTGTTTAGACCACATCCTAGCTCTTGTTTGCCCATCTAGAACACATTCTAAGTTTCTGTTAAGGGTTAAATAAGAATATTATTTAATACTTCCTGTGTGTTATTGGCCACCATTGGCAACTGCTTCTTTACCTGGTCATAGTTGCATAGCACAACATCCAGATGAGATGCAAAGATGAGAGAATGTTTGAAAATTATTTCAAGCAAGTAGTGAACAAAGGAGTGAGAAATGGACCTTAAAAGTTCAGAGAAAATAAATAAGTGAAGCAGGTCAAAACCTTTTTTCAATAGTGGTAGTTTTTTTCTTAGTGAGCTGTTAAAGGTTTGGGGCCAGAGTGGGCTCTATAGCTCAATATTAATGCCTGTTTGCTCTGAATGAGTTTGTGTACTCTTGGTGCAGCTTTGGCAACACTATTAGTATTGTACCTACTGGGCTCAGAGCCCTTAAGCCCCCAGTTCCCACCCCAAAAGTAGTAAACATAGTATGTTTCAGCCACTAGATGGCGATGTTGTCTAATTAGGTAGCTTGTAATGACTACAAATTTAATTAAAAAAAAAACAACTAATGACATTTTTTTATTAGAAGAGTACAACCATAAAGGGATCTATGAAATCACTATTGTATATTAAATAATATCTTAAAGTTTCAACAATCATTTAAAATGAAAATCATGGATACGTTGGATGTGTCTAACACCAATCCATTGTGGGTTTACATCCTCTTCCTCTGCCAACCTTGGTTGTCTCCTCCTACCCATCCATGATATACACATACATTATCATCCTAAAAATCACTTCCCATGACCCTAGTCACAGTTCTCAAGAACTTGGGCAGTATTCCAACATGTCTGAGCCTGTTTTCTTATACTCAACTGGTTCATAGGATCTCATGCGATAATAGATATTAAGTCATGGTTTAACAAATCTTTCATCATTTTTATTATAGTTATTATTAACAATTCTGTTATTGGAAGAAGTTGCATCTTGAACTTTCTTTTCCACTTTTCCTGAGGTTTAGATATTTGACATACTTACAAGTGATTTCTGGTACTACATGCTCATTGACTACTGGTTTACCCCCACAAGAGCTCATACCCATGACATATTTTATAAATTTTTGTTTGTTTGTGTGTAGGCTGCTTACTCTACTAACCCAGTTGAGACTGGTGTGCTCCCCTGATAGTTGCTCCTAAATTCCTCCGCATTCTCCCTTACTGTCAGCTCAGGAAGCAAGTTGGCTTTCCCAATAGGCAATACCTTTCCATTATTAGCCACATAAAGGAAATGGAAACCCATTACTATTTTTATGCAGTTCAGTGTCTACAAAGATTACTTTAGATTTTAGACTGACAGCAGATCTTACGAAGCTTCTGCCCGGGAATCCCTTGTTGACTGACTTATTTTTAAAAGCCTTAGGAATTTACTTACTCTTTTTTACTATCTTCCTGCTCTTTCTTTTTTTAAATGAATTTAAGTACATATGCAATTTATTATAGCATATCTGGAAAAATAGTTCCAACTGTCATCGCTCCAAATATGTTTTTCTCAACTTTCGTTCTGTGAAATGTTTCACAAAGATGGCTGAAAAATGATTATTGATAAATAAGCTAAAATACTAGGAGGAAAAAGTGCTTTGCCTGTAATGTTGTATCTTTACAATACTAAGTGTTTATACCACTTAACACTTACTAAATATGTGTGGTATGATTCATGTGTGTATTTAGCATACCATTTGTTTCTATTTCTAGAATAGCATTACTAAATTGGCATTTTGTAATATATCAAATGGTCAGTTTAAAAAAGGGTAAAAAAAAGAAGGGTTTTCCTATAACTAAAAGATAATGTTTATAAAAATATTTTGTTAATTAGACCAACTCCATACAGATGTTAGGCAATGTCATCATTTTTTAAAATGGAAAATAATTCAATGTTCCATGGAAAAAGAATTTGTAGTCAAAATTAAAGTTGGGAGATGATAAATCTCTTTGGGAGATTCACAGTACACTTTAGTATTGCAAATCCTCTAAGAAATCCTGTGATAAAATAAATCTATTTAAATGTGATTAATCCAGCATCATGCTGGATTTATTTTTACCTCAAAACTCATTCCTCCACAGATCACTTAGTAATACTCTTTTGGCATGACTGACTGAAAAACATTCTTCCCAGATGAATTCAACATAAAGTGTCTGAGTATAATTTTGTTAGTCAAAACTTAAATCTAGATGATGGGCCCAAAACTCGCCTAGGTATTCTCTTACTCTCAAATTAGATTCCTCTGTAATCCATATTAGTTCTTTGGAATCAATATGGTGCAAAGCTTGGCTGAGCTATAAAATTTCATGTTTAAACTATCCATTGATTCAAAACCTTGTGGAAACTTGAGATGAAAAGTCACTTAATAGTCATCTAATCCAATCCTTCTTACTTCATAGGTGGGAAAACTGAGGCCTAGCAATATGCCCAAAGCCACAGAACTAACTGATGGCAGATTGATAGACCAAATTTCTTTTTTTAAGAATTTATAGTCCATATGATTCCATTGCACTCAACCTGCTCTCCTTTATTTATAGCAATGAGACAGAAAAGGAGAGAAAGATCCTACTTCTTTTTCTTTCTTCCATGAATATAGAAAATAATTACTTGAATCTATTCAATCTTGGTAGTGAATCTGTTGTATATCAATAGATTTAAGAGTCATCTCTCCCCTTTCTTACTAAAAAAACAAAGAACCTAATTTTGTGCAGGCAGCAATATGACCAGACTCGGGGGGAAAAAAATATGAGTTGACTAAACCAGTACTAATTCTATTCCCCTTATCCCATATCTGGTATAACAGCAAGTGTGTGATCATGTTCTCCACTAGGACATAAAGAGATCTTTGGCAGGTGGGAGGGGGCTGATTGGAAGTAAGTTTTTCCCCAAACAAATAAGAGACAAGCAATGGTAAAAATATTTGCATCCCCATTTTTGCCTTTTTCCTGTGATGTATGAATGGGGTGATAAGATACGATGCTTATAACTATGCAGGCATCTTACAATCATTAGGAGAGAGATGGCAAGGATGTGCACCTCCAGACTCTGTTAGGAGATTTAAATTTTTCCTTTTATTGGAACCTCTCTTAATTGGATAATTGTTGCTAATAACTATATTGTTCTAAAAATACTCGCACACATACATAAAAAAATAACACTTAATCATTTGTAGGTCCTTCCAATGGGCCCTTTCAGAGACTCTAAGCTATTCCTTTTCAAGGGAAATAAATGCCTTTTTCTATCTTCACAATCTTTCCACTGTGAGCCTATTTAGGAGATAATTTTCTTATGCTTATTATCTGCTATTATAACCACAAAGCTTAGACTCATAGGCTTGTTCCCTCCAAGAACTCCTCAGAAAACTAAATGTCAAAGGAAACATGGTATACAAGTGTGCTTTCTGTTTACCCCAGTCATAGATCACCACGTTATTTAATATACCTTCCTAAAGAACAAAATAGAGAAACTAATGGGGGGAGGGGGGAGTGATGATATAAGTAAAGGGAAAATAGCCAAGGATTTTCCAGAATGGGAAGAACATATGGCTCCTGAGATTAAAAGAGCATTCTAGGTACTACGTAGGATAAATAAAAATATTTCCACACCCAGACAAGGCAAAAAGAAAATCTTCAAAGCTTCTAGAATGAAAGAAAAGTTATTTATAAAGGTAAATAATTATTGAAATCAGGGATGGGATTGTGGCTCATATGAAGAGCACTCGCCCAACATGCATGATGTTCGATCCTCAGCACCACATAAAAATGAAATAAAGATATTGTGTCCACCTATAACTAAAAAATTTTAAAAAATAATTATTGGAATCAGATTTTTCAGCAACAGTAGAGGTCAAAAGACTGAAAAAATTTTGGATTGGGTCTTTTGGGGGACCCAAGAGGGGAAAAAAAAAAGCAAGCTATAGGAGAAACTGCAAATTTAAAACATGTTAATTATTCACTGTGGTACAGATAGTATGCTACCTTTTATATTAAAAAGAGGTGGAGGGAGCATATTTAGGTATATATGTACTGGATAATTCTTACACTGTCTTTGGAGAACTGCCCAAGAAATTTCTGAGCTTGCTTGCTTCTAAAGGGTACAAGATCCTGAGAACAATGACAGGAAGATTTTGCTGTTTACCCTCTGTAAAGTTTTGAGTTTTGAGCAGTGTAACTATTTTTGAGTTTTGAGCAATGTAACGATACTACCAAGTAAAAAAAAATGAATGAATACAATTACAATAAAAAGCCTAAATATAAGAGATAAGGTAATTACTGAAATTACTGAATTATTGAGCAAAAAAGTAAAGGAAGTGATAAAGATAAGAACTGAAATGAGTGCTTTAAAAAAACAAATAAAATCAAAAGCAATTGGGCAAGATCTGATCAATTTGGAAATGCATATAAATCAGGATC